TTCTAAGCTTAAGGTTTAGGGTTTAGGGTTTAGGGTGTAGGGTTTAGGGTGTAGGGTTTAGGGTTTAGGGTTAACTGTTTCGTCAAAAAAACAGCATCCTAGGCACCAGCAAGAAAATCGGAATTCTGCATCCCGGAAGGCTTTTGCAAAACCATGGACCTTGAAAGGGCAGCTTCAAAGCAACAGCTTAAACTTACTCGGGGCAGTCGTAGCAAGAGCTGTAGGTAGTTGAAGTACCTTTAACCTTTGCTTTGCCACTGCTTCTGGTGCTGATGTTCTGAAGGCCGTGCGGGATGATGATAACGATGCTGATGCTGGTGGTGGTGATGATGAGGAGGAGGAGGCGGAGGAGGATGGTGGTGATGATGATGATGGCGGCGAAGATATTGATGGTTTGAAGAATAATAGAAGTCCTATGGGCATTATATCGGCTGTCTTTCCCGTTCTCCTGCACCGGAAACCGGCACCCAAAGACCCGACAACACTGAACAACATGGCCGGGAAACCCGAAACCCTAAACCCTAAACCCCTAAACCCTAGACGGCCCTAAATCCTAAACCCCTAAACCCCTAAACCCTGCCCTTAAGGAAGAGCTCTACACTCCAAGGACCAAGGATAGCCTCGGTCGATTTTGAGCACCCGGCAGGTATCCTGTCACCGGCAAGGCCAAAAGATGCTCCTTGGCTCAGAGCTTCGGGTTTGGGGTGTCGTCGACCCTGTGGTTTAGGGTTCAGGGTTTAGGGCTTAGGACTTAGGGCTTAGAGTTTAGGGTTTAGGGTTTAGAGTTTAGAGTTTCAGAGTTTAGGGTTTAGAGTTTAGAGTTTCCGAGTTTAGGGTTTAGAGTTTAGAGTTTCAGAGTTTAGGGTTTAGAGTTTAGGGTTTCAGAGTTTAGGGCTTAGGATTTGGGGTTGAGGGCTTAGGGCTTAGGGCTTTTAGACCCGCAGGGTTTAGGAAGTTCAGGCTTATGGTTTAGATTAGAATGAAACTTCAGAAAGCCTTCTGAAGCTTTAGAAAACGCAACGAGGGTTTCGATGAGAGGCGTGTGGATTTCGATCACGAGCTGTTGCGCTGAAGCCAGCTTTTGAGAATGACGGGCTGCCGGGCCTAAATCCGAAACCCCAAACTCTAAA